GACGAGAGGGAGAGAGAGAGAGGAGAGTAAGAGAGGAGCGGAGAGAGAGAGAGAGAGAGAGAGAGAGGAGAGAGAGGGAGTGACGAGGAGAGATCGGAGAGGATGAGAGAGGAGATGAGAGAAGAGAGAGGAGAGGATAGGGAGATGAGAGAGAGAGGAGAGAGAGAGAGAGAGATGAGAGAGACCGGATGAGAGAGTGGAGACGAGAGACAGAGAGAGAGAGAGAGAGGGAGGAGGAGAGGGAGAGATGAAGAGAGAGTAGATGTAGAGAAGAGAGAAGATCGGATCTCTTAAATCAGTTAAACCTTAGCATGCTTATTCGGCACTAGGTGGCGTTAGCTCATAGTAGTATGGATATCACTACACTCACGTCACTTCGCACTCGAGCAGCCTCTGTGATAAATTCGAATAAATTCGAATAAATTATGTGATAATTCGTTCTAAGTTAACGCTGAGTTTAGCCGCCATTGTCTCCCGTCCTCCGCAGCGAGTTCACCTCAAAGATGCAGCAGGGCGTGCCGACGACGACGCGTGTGCCGCCGCCGACGCGCGCTCCGAAGCCACCGATGAATCGCAGCTTCAGCAACAGCGACGTCGGCTACGAGAAGACGGACGGGAGCCTGTCGGACTCGGCCGCCGGCATGACAACCGAGGGCAAGCAGCGGCGGCCGAGCATCGGCGTCAAGGTCGCATCATTCGTCGGGCTGAACCGCAAGAGCAGCAGCACGTCGCAGCTGTCTGCCACGGGTGAGTGCATGAGGAGGTTAACACACACACGGTCATGGTGTAGCTGTCTGCCACGGGTGAGTGAGGAGCGTGCGCAGGTTAACACACACGGTCACGGTGTAGCTGTCTGCCACGGGTGAGTGAGGAGCGTGCGCAGGTTAACACACACACGGTCATGGTGTAGCTGTCTGCCACGGGTGAGTGAGGAGCGTGCGCAGGTTAACACACACACGGTCACGGTGTAGCTGTCTGCCACGGGTGATAGTGGAGGAGCGTGCAGATGGTCATGGTAAAGCAGCTGAAAGGCAGTGCGTTTCAGATTGCTCCCTTAAGTTACCGCATTCCCACATTCGCTAATACTTAATCGACCTAACGTGATCCGATTTCCACCAGTTGCAATGGGTCCTTCTAAAGCAGCGCGAGCCATTGCACGTTTCCCCATGTTTTCTTCTGCCAGGTAACTATGAAACCGTCTAACCAATAGGTTGCATGTGCATGTTCTGAGGTGTTCCGAGGTAATGAACCTTTTACTGTTAAAAAAACATGTTGCGAATCAAATATGTTTCGTAGTCAGCCAACTTCTATTAATCGAGCCGTGTCTAGAAGACCGAGAGCAGGTGATCGGCATAAAACATCTTTCTCGTCTCTGCTATGATGCTGCGCGTTGCCAACCCCCTGGTCAGAATTCTACGCTGACGTGCACGGTCATGGCTTTGCAGATACGGGAACTCTCCCTGGCGGGCGCAAGCGTAGCTCGGTGCAGCGCAGCGAGGAGGTGGGCATGCCGGACAACCTGCGCAGTAAGGACACGCTGATGACGAAGCAGCACTCGCGCGAGTCGAATGAGAGCGTGAGCAGCGACAGCTCCTCCCAGTGAGTCACCCACGCAGCGCTCTGTTCTAGTGTGATAGTGCCGCGTGCTGGGGGAGGGGAGGGTGGTGTTAGCACGCAGGGCACGTATGCCTATACGCTCGTTTCAAAGTTGTAATTAATGTTAGGCTCCATTGCAGAGCGGATAATGTGTACGTGGAAGGGAATACTAGTCCCCCCTCCGAATGCTCGTCTGTTTTTTCACGTAATGGTAGACAATAGCAGATACTCGTCATTAAACATCCCAGTTCAACATGCACGCTCACACGAACGCACGCACTCATGCACACATGCACGCACGCACGCACGCCAGTCCTGGATATCCTAGCCAGTACTAATTTCTAACATTTTGATTTCTACCATGTATAAACCTATAGTAAAATCCATAAAATTGAGCGAATCCTGCTCAGAAATAGTCACCTGGACTGTGGTACTGGTAGCTATTTTGAGTATTGCACACATGCACACACACACACACACACACACACACACACACACACACACACACACACACACACACACACACACACACGCAAATCTATTCACTCTAACAACGAAAATCTCGTGCATTCCGCGTGTCCCGGTCGTCATTTCGGCACGCGCGCATTGGCCTCCCTCGCCACCTCGCCACCGCGCCGCCTCGCCACCGCGCGCGCGTCAATCAAACGCCGCTTCATTTGCTCGGCGAACGTTGCAGGATCGCGCCGTGGAACGTCCCGCGCGTCGGCGGGCCCGACGGTCAGTTTGGCGACTTCATCGACGGCCTCGGCCCCGGTCAGCTGGTCGGCCGGCAGGTGCTCGGGATGCCCATCATGGGAGACTTCCTGCTAGAGCTGAGCGAACACGAGGGCCGCCTACACGTGCAGGTGCACCGCGCCAAGGGCCTGCAGCAGCGCGCCGGCACTAAGATGCTTCCCGGTAGGTGGCGCCACGCGAGACGACGTGCTCGTTCTGCGCTTGGAGAGGCGGCGGTCGTACAGTTGTGTCGTAGTGTAGTCAGCGGTTTGATAGGTGGCGCCACTTGGTCGCACGCCTGTGTGACATGCCCAGCACGAAGATGCCGCCCAGTAGGTAGCGCCACTAAATTATGTGCACGTAATATATCAAATACGTGATGCTGTTTGCAACATTTGCTTAGTAATGCTTTTTAAGTTGCTACGTGTTCTGATTATTTTGTGGCATTCTATATACCGTATACGACATTTTTTGTTTGAAAACGTTATGCTGTAGCGAGTGAACTATTTAGATTATCCTGATACGAAGGCACTGTATTGCTAATGAGTGAATTATTCAAATGGAGTTGCTCTTATAGAAAGTCCATGTAAAATTGCACTATATAATAACGTGGTTACTGATTGTGCACTATTGGTGTTGCAGCGCCTTATGTGAAGGTGTACATGATGGATGGAAAGCACTGTGTCGCAAAGGCCAAGACTACGATATCACGCCGAACGTTAGACCCTCTGTACCAGCAAGTACTAGTGTTCGCGGAGCCCTACCAAGGCAAGCTATTACAGGTGAGTCCTCGAATGATGTCGGATTTCATCGTACGATGCAAGTAAATGTTGATATAATAATATGTGCATTGTATAAAACATGGAATAAGTAGTGTATAACATCATGAGATGTATCGAAATGGATGGATGTGCGAAGTTTCGGAGACGTCGGTCAACACTTATTACGTTGTTTAGTCGATCCACTATAGTTACACCGCGTCGGCCGTGTTCACAGATCACAGTGTGGGGCGACTACGGACGGCTGGAGAAGAAGGTCTTCATGGGAGTTGCTCAAGTTGTACTGGAAGAGCTTGATCTCAGCACCGCCGTCAAGGGCTGGTACAAGTTGTTCCACTCCTCCTCACTAGTTGGCGCACCGAGCACGACTGGTAGTGCTTCCAGGAAGGGATCCCTCACATCACTCGACTCTGTAGGAACGATGGGGCCGCGGTAACCACGGCGACGTCAGCCCTTGTCGGCACAGCAACTGGGTAGGCGAACGCCGCTTCGGCTGGGGACGGTCGTTTGTGAGGTTTCCGGTGATGGTGGATCAATAGGACGATCGCTGTGGCAACAACCGATGGAGTGGCTGCATACATTGCGTTACCACTGCGACCGCGGATTGCCGTGAGACAGCGCGTGCACCAGCAGCCATCTTTACGAGTTTACTCCTTTCCTACGCGATTATTCGACATACTAGAGATCTTTGAACTTTGTAGTTAACACGCCATTTCTCTCTCGCTCGCCGAAGCCACTTTTCCTAGGCCTGTTTTCGCGTCAACGGGGTCACGGCGATAGGTTTTTCGTTTCTAGCGAATTAATTACGATTGGAGGTTTTGCTTCTCCTTTGAGGTCATGACTGGGCATGGGGGTCAAGGTCATCCTTTGTGACCATTGGCGTTTGCTAGAGACTCCGCAATGCTGGGTCAGCCACGGGCATTTCAATGACACTGGCAGCCACTTACATTTATCACCCAGCGTAGGGCAGGCTAAAGATGTACTAGTATTACGAAAGGCAGTGCACTATATAGACGAAGCCGCTATCATATTCGGAATGAGCAAGCGAGAGAGAGAGAGAGAGAAAGAGAGAGAGAGAGAGAGAGAGAACGAGAGAGAAAGAGAGAGAGAGAGAGAGAGAGAGAGGGAGGAGGTAAGAAGGGAAAAGTTCTCAAGTAGTGATATCCATTGTGTAGTCTCCTGCTCCTCCATGTAAGAAATGGAAAGAGTTGTGCCTTTGCTGTTCATGTGTAGTGCATACATGCGTGCGCGAGACAAGGCGTTGCTCTTGCTCTATCCCTGGTAGACGTGAGATTCACAGGGCAGTGCTACTCGCTAGGGGGCGCTGAGCGTAATTTTGTTCCTCGCCCTGGGCGGGGATTACTGCAGAACGTTGTGACCTGTTCTGCTGGCAGTATCGTAGACGTTAGGATAGAGTTGTTTGGTTTTGCTCATTACGACCAGTTGCTTTCGCAGAAAACGCACTTGGGTTCATCGTCACAAAAGCTAGAAGTTTAGCCGCTAGGGTTTTTATTTAATGACATTTCTCGAGGCACCCCGAGAGGTGCTTCCGACTTGTTGGCGACGACGACGACGATGACCGTAGGGATTCGAATCGCAGAACATTTCATTTTTATAAACGTACGCAAATTTCTCTTGCGTGATGATTTCATTTGCATATTTAGTTCATTTCGAACCGTTTCTGGTCGTATTCCAAAAGTCGGACGGGGCAGGGTGGTCTTGTGAGCCGATGGCTTCAATGTCTTGTTTAGGATTGTAATAAATCTCGAATATCTTACAAAGTAACGTATGACTAGTGAGTCGCCGTCGCGGCAGCGCACAGCGTTGTTTGTGTGCCGTTGATGGTGAGGCGGTTGCAGTTCAGTTGATAATAGTAAACGATACTATTCCCGATATACATACATCATCAACGAGCTGTCTGCTTATGACAGTTTCCCCGATCGTAAAGGCCTGGTTGCTAGGTGATGGTACGCACCAACTGCAACAACTTAATTGTGCTCCAGCACGCGTTCTGGCTGTGTACGATAAAGACGAGTTGCCCGTTATAGCATATTGCTATAATCACGATAAGTCTCTGTTGTTGATATTTACCTGTTAGTCAATAAGTATTCTTGCCTGCGAGATTAGATTTTAACTCGAAGAAATATATGAAACGACAGCAGTAGCTAGGCACGCGACGTCCTGCAACTTGCAGAGGGCAATAATCAATTAGTATCAGAGCCCCCGGGGACCAGGGGTCGACACCATGTTTTCAGGATTGTAGTCACCAATAATACGTAGGACCCAGGCTAGATTATGATAAATGTGGACTAATGAAACGGGGCCTTTCAATGTAGTACATTTTGTGCTAAAACTATTTAAACTTACCAAACATTACTCGAGAGTTTTTGTACTATACAGCAGATGCGTAGTGAAGGTAATACTTATCTATTATTATACTAGTTAGTTACTTGCTATTAAATAATTATAGAGAATTTTAATAGTGCTGTTTTAGCGTAGACTAGAGTGCAATTACGGTTTTGGATTCCTTCGAGTAAACTGAGTTTAATATAAAGTACTAGTAATATACTAATGCGCTAAACCCGTGCCGGGCACGCGTGGCTGCTGCATCCTCCTCGGCATCCCTCGTCGTGGTCGTGAGGATGCGGAGGCTGCGCGAGTTTGGCTTCGTCACCGGCCGGCACGTCGTACTGTAGTCGCTCAAATTCACACTCGACCGTGGCCTTCAGCTGCCGAAACACTCGGCTGGCTTCCCAGCGTTACTGAATGCGGCCGGGGGAGGGGCAGGGCGCCGACGCGTGGACGGAACAGGGGCGGCCGCCTCACTCCCGCCGTTTCAGATATTGTTAAGCACATAATACTTACGTATTCGGGTCATTAGTGTTCATCGTCGCACGTGGCCTACTTCGGCTGCATGGGGGCGCTAGCGCTCTGCTCTCTAGAAACGCGACCGGGCATATGTAATCGATGTGGGATCGTTCGTAGATGATCGTATTGGTCGTATGTGGCCCGATCATTCGAAGATGACCAGTTATGTGGTTGCGTTTGGAATGAAAGTTTGTTGGCTCATACACTCTTTTCATTATCGTTTCGCCATGCCTGTACGCTTGCTGTTAGTCAGATAGCAACCACTATACACCATAGTGCTGCCCAGACATCAGCAATAGATATGCTTATTGTGCAAGCCCTATGTAGCTGCATGGTGGTAGCTCGCCCTGCTGCTCTGGGCCATGCGACTTGTTGTGTTTCTAATATATATTTTATTGTTTATCGAGGACAGTGGGGAGCTTGCCAGCACTTGGGGTGGCAGAGGTGACCTCTTGACCTGAGGTTGAGTTAGGTGACCTCTTGACCCGGGGTCACCTGGGCTTTACTATGTGCACCATGCGTGTGGAAGTAATTCACATATTTTTTGTTTGCATTTTTCGTTTCTATATTATAGTTGTAGTATTCGTTTTGTTTCCTAAGCAAGGTATGGCAAGTTTTGTCCTATATTTCTTTAATCATTGTATTATGTAATCATGATAATAATTGATTACATCAATTGTAAAAAGCATTGTATTGTTGTTTCTTTAAAATTTAATAAAAACTATGGATTTTACAAGTAAATGCTTCTACGGCTTGTCTATCCATTAATAAAAACCAAAACCGAAATTACATTACAAATTTTATACAGAAATACAGAAACGTATAGTCTGACATCACATATATTTAAATGACACTGCAGCATTATTAATATATTACATACAAAGTTCATATTATTTCTGCCATTCATACATATATTTATATTATATTGGGAGGAAAATGAAGTGATGAAAAAGATCTGTGCATGGTTGTGCAACACAGCACAGTTGAGTGGTGACTTTATGAATCGGCATCAGTTGCTATCTGCCATATTAACTGGGAACTGTGTGCGTACAAATAGCTAACATTCATGTAGTTTTGCTATGTCTGGATGGCCGTACCATATCTATAAATGGTTTCCATGTCTACAAACATTTCTCGTGTTTCTTATGGTCACAAACAATGGCAATGTTAATGATTAGATGGTTACAAAGATTATAGACGGTTGGCATGCATATGAACGACTGAACCATTTAGGGTCAGGTGTCATGTTTAAGGAATGTTGACATCTATGGACGGATGTCATGTCTATATGAATGGGTGACATGTATACGAACAGATGCCAGATATATGGACGGTTGACGTTTACAGATGGGTGCCGTGTTTATGGACACGTGACATGTTTAAGGACAGTTGACGTCTATGGACGGATGTCATGTCTATGGATGGGTGACATGTACGAACACATGCCAGATATATGGACGGTAACGTTTACGGATGGGCGACGTTTACACGTGGGTGACATGTATAGAAAGGTGACATTTTCACAGATGGGTAACATGTATATGAATGGATTAAACTTTTATGGGTGGTTGACATGTTTACGGATGGGTGGCATGTATAAAAATCGATATCACGTTCGAGGATGGTTGCCACGTTTGTGGACGGATGACATGTTTATAAATAGGTGCAATGTTGACGACCAGTTCACATTTACAGACGAGTGTCATATTTATGGACGGGGGACATTCTTGTAAACAGTTACATTTGTAGATGGCTGCCATGCTTTTACAGAGTTACAATAGTTGTAAGTAGTGCCATGATTAATATGGACGGTAGAAATATTTGTACTTCCATAAAAATCGCCTGGTAACAATGGTAACAATGTTGATTGTTGTGTGTCACATTGCTCATTGACAACATCCGATTACAAAACAAGGTGCTATCACAAATGGCAGAATGCAGCGATCATGGGTATTTTTTGTGGGGCATAGTCTAGGGACAGTCAGTAACAGTTTGCACTCTACTTTATATGCTATTCTGCATAAATGTTATATGCCTTGGCCAGGAGTGCATAGAACACGGAGCATGCATTTTACACTATGATATAGTTGCAATGATCACATGGTAGGAACATATAGAATTTCTAACACATATGGTATAGCGGACTGTAACTGCTCATCAATCGGTCAAATACAACACACTACTATTATATGTCACTATATATAGTTGACATAGTCATAGTTCGTAAAACATCACAATTATTGTTCCAATAATGTAGTTTCCACAGAGGTAAGTAACCACAGCACAATAGTACTTATCATTTCTGTATTAGCTACATCTAGATGGTTACGTGGAGATATTTCATTTGGACGGATTTCTATGAGAATAAAAATGATTGTCAACCTCAGACACATGGTACATCACACTAGGTAGCTGAACACCTCATTGTCATGTGACAGAGATGAAGTCAACACCATGTGACTAAACAAGGACCACCACCAGGTGGCATAACTGACATTACCACCAGGTGGCAGTGGCTTATCTGACATCACCACCAGGTGGCAGTGGCTTATCTGACATCACCACCAGGTGGCAGTGGCTTACCTGACATCACCACCAGGTGGCAGTGGCTTACCTGACATCACCACCAGGTGGCAGTGGCTTACCTGAAATCACCACCAGGGGGCAGTGGCTTACCTGACATCACCACCAGGGGGCAGTGGCTTACCTGACATCACCACCAGGTGGCTATTAGATCACCTCTAGTATACCGAAGACATAGCACGAGTACGTCAATAATAACAGAGCGTTCGCTCATGAGATCCTCTCCCCACACAGCAGCCTCGCAGATCACACAACTTCCTACTCTATGAAATCCACGACGCTAATGGAATGTTTCGACGCGGTCGACGAGGCGGCAATGCTCATATGTGCGTGTGACATAAAGGGCAGTTCTGCCGCGTTGCGACGTCTTGCTCGCTGGCGCGGTGCTTGCAGGTCGAACACTGCCAGAAGTCATACTCCATGATCGGACGACCCGTAATGACGCACGTCGCAAACTTCGTGTCACAGCTCGGACACACGGGACACCTGGTGGTAGAGCAGGGAATCGATGGGTCGACTACGCGAATCGACGGCAGTGTGGCAAGTCGCCGTGTTACAAACGTCCGCACGTGCAAACTTTTGTATTTGCGAACATGGCTCTCCTCGATTCTTTTAATGTGTAGGAACGCGATTTCTGAACGGTGTGACCCCGAACGTAACTGGCAGAGTTTCGAAGTAGAGAGGTTTTGGAATGATTGCATTCATAACTCGGGCACTCATATTGTACTCGCAATTATATAGATTCAGGTTTATGGCAAGACAGTAATTACCACATTCCTCTTATAATGAGCTGACTCAGTTGCACACAGATTCCCATTGCGAGAAACATAAAGAGCTATGACTGTCATAAATTGCAGTAAAGTCCATAAGATGTAAAAAGTAAGTCCATAAGATGTCACAACTAATTATGTTTCTGACAACGGGCCTCTGAACTGAATACTGTATTCACTCGTGTATAAGTGGAATTCATGTATAAGTCGCACCCCATATTTTGCCTTGAAAAGTTGGTACAAACATTGGTACATTAACAAGAATTCTTAGCTTCGTGTATAAGTCGCAGCCCTGATTTTTATTGGAGTTGCGCACAAAAAGCGTGACTTATTCACTACTGTAAATACGGTAAATAAAGGAGATAAACAATCTAAGACGTAATGGGACTAACCAATCGGGTATGAGTGTCTCACAGTTACTGCACTCCGCCTTCCTCTGTTTCACATCTTTAGGTGGGTGTCTGCAAGAGAATTGACAGCCATTGCATAAGGACCACACATAGCATGCTGGTGAAATTCCATTAGAGAACTCAGACGAGTTTTTTCTGGAGTTTAATCTGCTATGTACGCATGTTTAATACATAGAAATTCTTTTCTCTCATTGTCTCTCCCATTAATCTATTGTTAGGACATATTAACAACACATAACCTAATACTTTGTGAATTATGAACCAGGAATTTCGCAGAATATTCAAACCCTAAGCTTGAAGATAGCAAATGTGACTGATTGATTATCTGAGTGGACCACTGATATTACAGCACCATTGGGACCAGAGCCATGCTGGACCAGTGGGGTTTCCTGACCATCAGAGGTCTATATATAGTATAACTGCTGATAATGCCTTAAGATAAATCCAATTTAATAATTCCAATTTGCTATCCACCTCACACAAACTCTGAAGTACCCTTAGCTGCCATAAAACAATACAGCTGTACTTGTATAATTCAAAGTATAAAGGCGACTTGGTAAACTACAGTCGAAGAGTGGGTGGTAACTATGAACGACCACCACCATAAAAATCTCTGGACCATCAGAGGTGCTGAGCCATTCGGAAATTCAGTGGTCAGCCTATAGCAGCTTGGACTGACATATTGATTATATTCAATCAACTAGCGAGAATGTAAAAATCATAGCCAAACCACCATCATAAAACTTGTACTGCTTAGCAAGTGTAAAACAAGTGACCATCACTTAATGAATATCTCAAACAAATAACCATCTCTTACTTAATCAATGTCTCGAACAAGTGACCATTGCTCACTTGATGAATATATATCTTAAACAAATACAATCACTTACTTGATGAATATTTCAAGTGCTAGTTCCTCGTACTGTTGCTTCTGCTCAGCATTCAACGTCTCTAATGACTGTAGTTTAGTAAAGGCCTTTGAACAGGTACCAAATGCTTGGTTGGCACACGAAGACAATGCTGAAATTAACACAATTCAATGTAATCAATGGCTGTAAGTTTACTATCTATGGCTGTAGTTTGTCCAGTAAAGACATTCGCTGATGTGTAGGTGAGGCAGTTAGTTCGCAATAAGTTGGCAATAAACCTATTTGTGCACACAGCAAGTGTTGACTGAAGCAAATCGTAATCTTGCTCAAAGGCACAACAGAAGATACCATGGTGGGTCTTGGCCCCCAGCCGGGAGTTAAATGTTCTATCCACCAGACCAGTAAGTGCCTCCCACCACCTGACGATTAGTATACGACAAACGTATTTATACCATTAGAACAACAGAGACAACATCAATATCAAAGCAATACTTGTGACCATACCATAATAGTTACATATCTGCACTGTGTGAGAAAAAGTCGAAGGAATGATCATGGGAGGTGGAGAGATGGGATAGGAGATAGGAGATGAAGAGAAATGGCTATGAGACAGATATGAAGGAATAAGATAGAGGGATGAGAAGGCTCAATAAAGGGGGACGAGTGGGTGAAAGAGAAGGGAAGAAAATGTTACAGGTGAGAGGATCGGAGAGAGGAGGAGGGGAAGGAGAGGTTGTGGAGAGGAAGTGGCAGGAAAAGCTAGAGAAGTGCGAAGGGGTAATAGGATATCGAGGGCCTATTAGAGGGACAGCTCATACCAAGCAGTGAATAAATGTCTTCAGCGTCCAGTAGATCTTCGTAATCTCTCAAATGCAACGTTGTCTTCATGCTGGCATCAAAGAAACCTGTAACACAACAAGAATATCATTACAGCTGAACCTTATATGAGGTGAATACACCCCACAGCATCTACCGGGAACAGGCCAACGCAACAACACGCACACATGCGAGCACAAACACAGGATGGATTGCAGAGAGATCTAAGTAAGGATGTCAAAGGATTACAAATAAACGGCATAGAAAATGCATCACTAACTTAGAAG